TCTGTCCTCATGTCCTCTTCTTGTCTCCTGTCTGTCCTCATGTCCTCTTCTTGTCTCCTGTCTGTCCTCATGTCCTCTTCTTGTCTCCTGTCTGTCCTCATGTCCTCTTCTTGTCTCCTGTCTGTCCTCATGTCCTCTTCTTGTCTCCTGTCTGTCCTCATGTCCTCCCCTTCCTCTTCTTGTCTCCTGTCTGTCCTCATGTCCTCCTCGGCCTCCCTGACATCATTCATTAGGAACATGTAGTAGACAGGCTTCCTTACATCCGTCTGATCATTTGTCCTTTTGGGATGTTTTTGTTTTTCTTCAGTCTTTTCTGTTTTTATTTGAATCTCAACCTGCTGCACGGAGCGAGCCAACGTTTAGTTCATTTACTCCAGAAGACAGGACTGACCCTGTTCTTCTGGTCCTGTGAACTGGACCAGGTACTGATACCTTCAACTGGACTCACTTTTCATTTCACTTCAGTTTGAGTCCAAGCTGAGGTGGATCAGGAGGTTTTAGTAGACCTGTCCCACTGGAGGGAGACCCAGAACCCTCTGGAGGGATCATCTGGTCAGGGAACAACATGGGGTCTCCATGAGGGGCTGGAAAGGAAGATCTGGGTGTCCCTCCTACATCTGTTACCTCCATGGACAGATGGACATGTGGACACGTCCCACAACCTGCCCAAAAACACGACTCAACCCTTTTTAATCCTGGTGTCAGATTTAAAATCCTCAGATGAAAGAGGCTGAAGGTTGAGTGAAATGATCAGAGTTGTGTTATTTATGAATAAAAAGATGTTTTATTTGTGTGAGGGTTCAGACAGAAGGCAGCGGTACTTCTCCTCCTGTCATCAGAACCAGGAGACGACTAACAGAACCTCTGTGTGTCTCTTCAGGGTGGAAAAGTCCACAGTCAGCACTCTGAGGAGCCGGTGAGTGTCGACCCACAAACATTCAGCCCTGCAGCCAAACAACATGACACAACAACAACACAACACATGGCACAACACGACATGACACAACACGACATGACACACAACACGACATGACACACAACACACAGCTGGTTTGTTCAAAGCCCAACTGCACTCAAGGGTTTGGAAAATAAATTATGTAAGAAGAGTAAAGCCATTATTAGACAGTTATTAAGCCATTATTAGAAAGCTATTAAGCTATTATTAGACAGTTATTAAGCCATTATTAGACAGTTATTAAGCCATTATTAAACAGGTATTAAGACATTATTAAACAGTTATTAAGCCATTATTAGACAGTTATTAAGCCATTATTAAACAGGTATTAAGCAATTATTAAACAGGTATTAAGCCATTATTAAACAGTAATTAAGCCGTTATTAAACAGGTATTAAGCCGTTATTAAACAGGTATTAAGCCATTATTAGACAGTTATTAAGCATTAGTAAACAGTAATTAAGCCATTATTAGACAGTTATTAAGCTGTTATTAAACAGTTATTAAGCCATTAGTAAACAGTAATTAAGCCATTATTAGACAGTTATTAAGCTGTTATTACACAGTTATTAAGCCATTATTAAATAGTAATTAAGTCATTATTAGACAGGTATTAAGCCATTATTAGACAGTTATTAAGCTGTTATTAGACAGGTATTAAGCCATTATTAGACAGGTATTAAGCCATTATTAAACAGTTATTAAGCCATTATTAGACAGGTATTAAGCCATTATTAGACAGGTATTAAGCCATTATTAAGACAGGTATTAAGCCATTATTAGACAGGTATTAAGCCATTATTAAG